AAGTGGCAGCCTCACCCACCACACCACAGCACCGGCCCCATAATTTATATATTTTTAATTGGCTGCATATATTTATATGTATTATAAGATTTCTTTTTTTATAAATTTTTTAAAGATTTATTTACTTATTTGAAAGAGTTACGCAGAGAGAGGAGAGGCAGAGAGAGAGAGAGAGAGAGAGAGAGGTCTTCCATCTGATGGTTCACTCCCCAGATTATACTATAAGATTCTAAGAAGCATTACATAATAAATAGACACTGTAAAAAGATCCATGTTGGAGAGCTGGTTTCAGTCTTGATTGTCCCATTTCCAATCTGGCTCCTGCTGATGATCTTGGGACAGCAGCAGACGATGGTCCAACTACTGGGGTCTCTGCCACCTACATGGAGACTTAAATGGAGTTCCAGGCTTCTGGCTCTGTCTGGCCCAGCCCTGGCTGTTGCAGCCACTTTGAGAATGAACCAAAGGATGGAAACGCTCTTGCTCTCTGTGTGTACATGTGCGTGTATGTGTCTCCCTCTCTCTCTGTTACTCTTTCAAATAAATAAATCTTAGAACAACAACAACAACACAACTAATTATGGCTATTCAGACAGGCATCTGGTAGACATTTTCTTAAAAATAAACAAAATGATGGGGCCGGCGCTGTGGCGTAGTGGGTAAAGTCCCTGCCTGCAGTGCTGGAATCCCATACAGGTGCTGGTTCGAGTCCTGGCTGCTCCAATTCTAATCCAGCTCTCTGCTGTGGCCTGGGAAAGCAGTGGAAGATGGCCCAAGTCCTTGGGCCCCTGCATCCTTGTGGGAGACCCGGAAGAAGCTCCTGGCTCCTGGCTTTGGAGCAGCTCAGCTCTGGCTGTTGCGGTCATCTGGGGAGTGATGACCTCCCCAGAGAGAGATGGAAGGCCTCTCTCTCCCTTTCTCTCTCTCTGCCTGTCTGTAACTTTGATTTTCAAATAAATAAATAACTCTTTAAAAAAATAAACAAAGTGAGCCTATCATTTCAAGAAAAACAAGTGACGATATTTGTGGCTAATGACAAAATTCAAGCTTTCCAGTGAAAATCAGAATTCTGGAAAGCTTGTGTCTGTGACTGCAAGCTTCACAGCTTCCCAATGCTCAAAATATTTATCTGATGAGACAGCAGTGATATTAACAAAACCATTTTTTTTTTTTTTGACAGGCAGAGTGGACAGTGAGAGAGACAGAGAGAAAGTTTTTCCTTTACCGTTGGTTCACCCTCCAATGGCCACCGCGGCCGGCGCGCTGCGGCCAGCGCACTGCGCTGATATCCTGGTCTCCCATGGGGTGCAGGACCCAAGTACTTGGGCCATCCTCCACTGCACTCCCTGGCCACAGCAGAGAGCTGGCCTGGAAGAGGGGCAACCGGGACAGAATCCGGCGCCCCGACCGGGATTAGAAGCTGGTGTGCAGGCGCCGCAAGGCGGAGGATTAACCTAGTGAGCTGTGGCACCGGCAACAAAACCAATTTTTAAATATTGTATATTGAAGAGGCTGGCGCCGTGGCTCAACAGGCTAATCCTCCGCTTAGTGGCGCCGGCACACTGGGTTCTAGTCCCGGTCGGGGCGCCGGATTCTTTCCCAGTTGCCCCTCTTCCAGGCCAGCTCTCTGCTGTGGCCAGGGAGTGCAGGGGAGGATGGCCCAAGTGCTTGGGCCCTGCACCCCATGGGAGACCAGGAGAAGCACCTGGCTCCTGCCTTCGGATCAGCGCGGTGCACCGGCCGCAGCGCGGCGGCCACGGTGGCCATTGGAGGGTGAACCAATGGCAAAAGGAAGACCTTTCTCTCTGTCTCTCTCTCTCACAGTCCACCCTGCCTGTCAAAAAAAAAAAAAAAATATATATATATATATATAGTATGGTGAAGTGTATATCTAACATTGCATGAAACAAATGTCAACGACTCAGTGAACCAATATTTCCCAAATGACCAATCTGGTTTAAATGTGAATGATGTTACACAAATCACATGTGGGTAAAGGATCCATTTAAAGTGCAAGCTAGCCCAGTGGATTTAATTTAATATAATAGTATAAAAATTCATTGATATGTCTTCAGATCACATATTGCAATTACCTCTTATTGAACTCCCATATCCTGAATTCTAGCATAGTCTCAAAGAAAAATGTTCACAATTATTTGAAAAGGCCATTAAAATAGCACTCTTTTCCAACGACATATTTAGGTAAGTCCAGATCTCCCTTATACACTTCAATCAAAAGAGCACATGGCAACAGTGTTAAGCAGAAGCAAATATGCAACTCCACCTGCTTTTTACTAAACTAGGTAGTAAAATATTACAAAATTGGAAAGACAATGCCACTCTTGCTTTCCATTCCTGAAATACTTAAACTTTTTTTTTTTTTTTTTTTTTTTTTGACAGGCAGAGTGGACAGTGAGAGAGAGAGACAGAGAGAAAGGTCTTCCTTTTGCTGTTGGTTCACCCTCCAATGGCCGCTGCAGCCAGCACACCGCGCTGATCTGAAGGCAGGAGCCAGGTGCTTCTCCCGGTCTCCCATGGGGTGCAGGGCCCAAGCACTTGGGCCATCCTCCCCTGCACTCCCTGGCCACAGCAGAGAGCTGGCCTGGAAGAGGGGCAACTGGGACAGAATCCGGCGCCCCGACCAGGACTAGAACCCGGTGTGCCGGCGCCGCTAGGTGGAGGATTAGCCTAGTGAGCCATGGCACCGGCTTCTCATGGGCTTTTTAGCCAGATCTGAATGCCTTAAGGGCTGATTCTGAGGCCAGAGTGCTATTTAGGACATCTGCCATTCTATGAGTCTGCTGTGTATCCCACTTCCCATATTGGATTGTTCTCTCCTTTTTAACTCTATCAATTAGTATTAGTAGACACTAGTCTTGTTTATGTGATCCCTTTGACTCTTAATCCTATCATTATGATCAATTATGAAGTGAAACTGATCACTTTGACTAGTGAGATGGCACTGGTACATGCCACCTTGATGGGATTGAATTGGAATCCCCTGGCACGTTTCTAACTCTACCATTAGGGTTAAGTCCGATTGAGCATGTGCCAAACTGTACATTTTTAAAAGACTGATTTATTTATTTGAAAGTCAGCGTTACACAGAGAGGGAAGGAAAGGCAGAGAGAGAGAGAGGTCTTCCATCCATTGGTTCACTCCCCAGATGGCCGTAATGGCTGGAGCTGCGCCCATTCGAAGCCAGGAGGCAGGAGCTTCCTCTGGATCTACCATGTGGGTGTAGGGGAGACTTGGCCATCTTCTACTGCTTTCCCAGGCCATAGCAGAGGGCTGGATTGGAAGTGGAGCAGCCAGGACTTGAACCGGCACCCATACGAATGCCAGCACTACAGGTGGCGGCCTTACCCGTTATGCCAAAACACTGGCCCCACTACGCTCCTTTTTATTTGCTCTAATGGCTTTTGTCATTAGTCATGGCAATTTTGTTCTCTTTTCCTATACTGTTACCCACAGCAAAGATGTTGAAGATGTCACTGTCATCAATATGAAAAGGGTAGTGAGTGTTGTGATGCAGTGGGTTACGCTGTGTCTTGGGACACCCACGGTCCATAATAGACAGTCTAGTTCAAGTCCTAGCTTCTCCCCTTCCAACTAATGCACCCAGGAAGGCAGCACATGATGGGTCTCCGCACATGCTGAGAGTCATTAGAGGAAGCAGACACCCTGAACACAGTCTTCCCCAGGTATCCTTGTATGATTTCCTTACTCTTTGTCAGACCCAGAGAGGACACTTAGTTTTCATGAAAACTTCTCTCTTGTACTCTACTTGGACCTTGGACCTGCCTGACTCATTCACCACCATGAAGCACCAGTGCTTCGTAACAGAACAGATAACAGCATCATCAAATCTATGTCTAGGCTGGCGCCGCGGCTCACTAGGCTAATCCTCCACCTAGCGGCGCCGGCACACCGGGTTCTAGTCCCGGTCAGGGCGCCGGATTCTGTCCTGGTTGCCCCTCTTCCAGGCCAGCTCTCTGCTATGGCCAGGGAGTGCAGTGGAGGATGGCCCAGGTGCTTGGGCCCTGCACCCCATGGGAGACCAGGAAAAGCACCTGGCTCCTGGCTCCTGCCATCGGATCAGCGTGGTGTGCCGGCTGCGGCGGCCATTGGAGGGTGAACCAACGGCAAAGGAAGACCTTTCTCTCTGTCTCTCTCTCTCACTGTCCACTCTGCCTGTCAAAAAAAAAAAAAAAAAAAGAAACAAGCCATTAAAAAAAAAAATCTATGTCTAGTCACCTGTTGTCAGAAACCATGTTTAGGGGCTGGCGTAGTGGGTTAAGCCACTGCTTGCCACAAGCTGGTTGGTGTCCCTGCTGCTCCACTTCTAATCCAGCTCTCTGCTAATGTGCCTGGGAAGGCAGCAGAAGACGTTTGGGGCCCTGCCACCCACTCGGGAGATCTGCATGAAACTCCTTAGCTATTGGCTTCTGCCTGGCCCAGCCCTGGCGGTTATGGCCACACAGGGAGTGAACCAGCGGATGGAAGCTCGCTTTCTCTCTCTCCCTCTCTCTCTAACTCTGCCTTTCAACTAATAAATCTTAAAAAAAGAAAGAAAGAAACCACGTTGGTGGGAATCGTTGCAGCCTGATTCTCAGTAAAAGCGACACAGCTTGGGGTGGTTCAGTTATGTGATAATAATGATCGGGTCCCCTGATTACCCGCAAGATTTTTTTTCACTTTTTTTTTATTCACTTTTCCGAGACTGCACACACTTAAGGGCAGGTGGTGCCAAGATCAATGACAATTATGGGGCCTTAGATACGGTTCTTATGTATAAGTAAGGAAAACACACTAACCTCCAAAGCCACCTTCCGTCCAACTAGTTGTCTCCAACTTCAAATAATACAAACTTTCCCAGGGATGTAATAACCTTCCCGGCTTCTCTCCCGCCCAAAACACGTTGTCGGCCCCGTCCCACGCTTGCGCACGCGCACATACGCACGCCTTAGACCCCGCCCACTCCGCGCGCACGCTGCTGCCGGACACACCCAGTCTCCTCTCTTCCTGGTTCCGGGCTGGCTACTTATTTCCCGCCATTTCCAGCTCTTCGTGAGTAGAGGTGGGTGATTTCCGTAAGATCTGAGGTCTTCTGAATCAAAGCGACCTAGCGGGTAGGAAAGGGAGCTGAAAAAAGAATCTCTGGGAAATTTGAGATAGCTGAACTCGCACCACCCCCCAAAAACGGGGAAATTTTGCTTTCGGGGAGTAGGCTTATCCTGTTAATTGGCCGCCTTATATGGGATTCACCTGTCCAGCCTATTTGAATTGCTGATGCTGCCCTCAGCAAACCAGGGCATTAGATAGGGGAGCCTCTTAAGTAGTTCTTTGAGCAACAGATCAAAATCTGCAGCTCGTGGCACTGTGGAATGCCCTTGCATTGGGCTGCTTGTGCAGTAAGTTTTCAACGTAAATCTTGCCTAACTTGACAAAATTGTTAAACTGTGGTGCAAATCAGTTCCCATTCATTTAGCACTTAGTTCTTAAACCACTTAATATTTTTTTAAGGGAGAAGATATGGGAAAAAAGCCCCTTCTGTTTTAATTATTTTTTCAATTTAATTTTAAAGGACATCAAGCAAATAAATATTATATTCTTTTTTATACTATATTATATTCTTAAATAGCATATTCGGTAAGCTAAACATGATTTAATTAAGCATAAACTAAATTTTATGTATTTTTGATATGTCAATTAAAAAAATTCAACAAAGTCACATTTACTTTGTATTTAACAAATTATATTAAATTGATATTGACAAAAGATGCAGGATATATGGTTACCATGGATAACACAAAGGCCATTTCACATGGAAACAAGAACTTTGCACAGAGAAATCAAGAGACTTGGTTTCCAGTCCCAGAGTAACCACTAACTAAGGGGTGGAACTTTGGACAACTTATTTAATTTCAGTGAACATTAGATACATCTTTGGGAAAATAGTAGAACTGAACAAAACATTATGTGATTTTTCCAAGCCCCTTCCATATCTATGATTCTGAGTTCCTGTAGAGTATCATGGAAAGTATACATGACTACTATCACCAACCCTGTTTTCTTTGGATAAAATGTGTCCCAAGTGGCTAATAAGTGATCTATATCTGGTCAAGAAATGAGGGGCCAGCATTGTGGCAAGCTGCCACTGCAATCCTGGCATCCCATCTGGGTGCTAGTTTGAGTCCTGGCTGCTCCCTGCTAACAAGTGTAGGAAAGTGGTGGAAGATGGCCCAAGTGCTTGGGCCCTTGCCAGCCATGTGGAAGACCTGGATGAAGTGCCTGGGTATCGGCCTGGCCCAACCCTAGAGGTTGTGGCTATCTGAGGAATGAAAATGATGAAAGAGCTCTCTGTCTTTCCCTCTTTCTCTGTAACTCTGCCTTTCAAATAAACAAACAAAAATAAATGTATTTTTTAAAGATTTATTTATCTTTATTTGAAAGTCAGTTATAGCGGCTGGCGCCGTAGCTTACTTGGTTAATCCTCCGCCTGTGGCACTGGCATCCCCTATGGGTGCCGGGTTCTAGTCCCGGCTGGCCCTCTTCTAGTCCAGATCTCTGCTGTGGCCTGGGAAGGCAGTGGAGGATGGCCCAGGTGCTTGGGCCTTGCACCCGCATGGGAGACCAGGAAGAAGCACCTGGCTCCTGGCTTTGGATCAGCGCAGCACCAGCCATGGCAGCCATTTGGGGGGTGAACCAACGGAAGGAAGACCTTTCTGTCTCTCTCTCTAACTCTGCCTGTCCAAAAAAAAAAAAAAATTATAAAAAAAGAGAGGCAGAGAGAGAGATCTTCCATCTGCTCCCCCCCCCCCAAATGGCCACAACAGCCAGAGCTGGGCCGATCCAGAACCAGGAGCTTCTTCCAGATCTCCCACATAGGTACAGGAGCCCAAACACTTGGGCCATCTTCTACTGCTTTCCCAGGCCATAGCAGAGAGCTGGATCAGAAGTGGAGCAACTGAGTCTCAAATTGGTGCCCATATGGTACCACATTGCGGTGGCTTTATCTGCTACACCACAGCGCCAGCCCATAAATATTTTTTTTAAAGAAATGAATGGTTCATTTTTTTTTAAAAAGCATTTGCTAGCATTTAATGAACCATGTGGCTTCAAACTACCAGGACACAGGCTTCCCCATGCCTTTAATCTTCTCCTTGGCTCTTCTGCTGAAGGATTTGGCCTTCACGATGACAGCCTGCTTTGGGAGTTTTCCCTTTCCCAGAACTTTGTAATAGCCCGACTGCACCACATCAATGATGGGAGCAGCTCCAGTCTTGTTCTTGGCAGCATTTACCGGTGTCTGCTCACTGACCAACGTCCACAACTTATCAAGGTTGACAGTTGGGCAGAAGTCTGCTTCTCTTTAAGTGGTAATGCCTCATACCAGCTTTCCCGAAGTAACCTGGCTGATGTTTATCAAAGTTGATCCTGTGGTGATGCATGTCGCCAGCATTACCTCGGCCTCTTGGGTGCTTCTGGTGTTTGCAGATGCGGCCATGGCCGTGGCTCATGTGGCTGCACAGTTTCTGTGTCTTCCTCAGTCTGGATGGCATATTGGCTGCCGAAATGAAAGAGCTGTTTTCATTTTTGAAGATTTTTTTTCTAATTAGAAGCTAGTGCATGAATTAATCTAGAGAAGATGGACAACAGACAAAGTATAAAGGAAAAACACACACAGATCCTCATCACTCAGGTCACTGGCCTTTTTAAAAATTTTTTTTACATTTTCTATATTACATATATATATATAAATGGTATAACATAGTCTGCAGATTTTTTTTCTTTTTTTTCTTTTTTTGACAGGCAGAGTGGACAGTGAGAGAGAGAGAGACAGAGAGAAAGAGAAAGGTCTTCCTTTGCCGTTGGTTCACCCTCCAGTGGCTGCTGCGGCTGGCGTACCGCGCTGATCCGAAGCCAGGAGCCAGGTGCTTCTCCTGGTCTCCCATGGGGTGCAGGGCCCAAGCACTTGGGCCATCCTCCACTGCACTCCTGGGCCACAGCAGAGAGCTGGCCTGGAAGAGGGGCAACCGGGACAGAATCCAGTGCCCCAACCGAGACTAGAACCCGGTGTGCTGGCGCCGCAGGTGGAGGATTAGCCTATTGAGCTGCGGTGCCAGCCTAGTCTGCAGATTTTTTTCCCCCACTTTATGGATATATGGATTTGTTACAGTCAGTTGGAATACCTACAATTATACATCCTAATGCATTATCAGAAGCTAGGCAAACATTGTTATCTAGATTTTGGAACAGCTGTAATTATATTATAGCCCAGATTATTCTTACTCTTTCTCTTTATCTGCTCTAGAATGGATTGGTTTCATTGCAACCAGTGTTTCCGAAAAGATGGGGCACATTTCTTTGTCACCAGCTGTGGCCATATTTTCTGTAAAACGTGTGTGACTCTGGGTGAGTGGCTTAACTATTTTAAAATTCAGGCAAAAATGTTTTTAGCCTAGATATAATGATTACCCATTTCTTTGTGTGACTTAAGATAAAAATAAGCCAGTAGGCCAATGGTGGTCTGTATACTTTGAGACTTGATTTTGGAAATTGGAGGAATCCATTAATAAATAATGGTGCTAAATGACTTAGCAAATGATTTAACAGATCTGTTACTTGAACAACAAAAGATATTAGTCAATGTTTTGAAGACTGTAGCCTGGAAAACCACAAGGAATCAAGATTGATCAGAGTAAAAAAGGAATAATAGATAGGAATTGGGGAAAATTTGGTTGATATCAGCCATTTGAAGAGAAGTGGTATGGCCTATAAAATCAATTTGGTTAGAAATGATGATGCCTTTGCAGTTTATTTTATTTATTTATTTATTTATTGACAGGCAGAGTGGACAGTGAGAGAGAGAGACAGAGAGAAAGGTCTTCCTTTGCCTTTGGTTCATCCTCCAATGGCTGCCGCGGCCGGCGCACTGCGGCCAGCGCACCACGCTGATCTGATGGCAGGAGCCAGGTACTTCTCCTGGTCTCCCATGGGGTGCAGGGCACAAGCACTTGGGCCATCCTCCACTGCACTCCCTGGCCACAACAGAGAGCTGACCTGGAAGGGGGGCAACTGGGACAGAATCCGGTGCCCCAACCGGGACTAGAACCCGGTGTGCCAGCGCCACAAGGCGGAGGATTAGCCTGTTGAGCCGTAGCGCTGGCCTTGCCTTTGCAGTTTAAAAAGCATTTTCCCTTGTACTGATTTTACATACTCCTCACCACAATCCCAGATGGTAATTATTAGTAGGACCATTTTAGAAATGAAGAGACTGATCCAAAGAGAATAGGTGATTTTACCAGCTGCTTTTTGCTTTTTTTTTTTAAACATGCCCGCCCTCCCTCCCTCCCTCGACCAGCTTCTTTTTTTTTGGACAGGCAGAGTGGACAGTGAGAGAGAGAGACAGAGAGAAAGGTCTTCCTTTACCGTTGGTTCACCCTCCAATGGCCGCTGTGGCCGGCATGCTGCAACCGGCGCACCGCGCTGATCTGAAGCCAGGAGCCAGGTGCTTCTGGTCTCCCATGGGGTGCAGGGCCCAAGCACCTGGGCCATCCTCCACTGCACTCCCTGGCCACAACAGAGAGCTGGCCTGGAAGAGGGGCAACCGGGACAGAATCCGGCACCCTGACCAGGACTAGAACCCGGTGTGCCAGCGCCGCAGGCGGAGGATTAGCCTAGTGAGCCGGGGTGCCGGCCTGGACCAGCTTCTTACAGTTAGTAAATCTTAGAAGACAGTGTTGATTTCAAGGTTGATTGTTTTTCTTTAATGCAGATATAGTTAGAAGATATGTAAATGCCCAGAAGAGTGATTTAAAGTAGAGTGCTTTTAATCTCAGTAGGGTTTTGAATAATAAACTGGAGTTTACCAAGTGAATATGGCAAGTAAGATCATTCTAGTTTAAGAGAACTTGTGTGTAAAGATATATTATATTGGGCCGGTGCTGAGGCTGGCAGTGTGGTGTGGCAGGTAAAGCTGCCGCCTGCAGTGCCAGCATCCCATATGTGCACCAGTTATGGTCCTGGCTGCTCTACTTCTGATCCAGCTCTCTGCTATGGCCTGGGAAAACAGTGGAGGATGGCCCAAGTCTTTGGGCCCCTGCACCCACATGGGAGACCCAAAGGAAGCTCCTAGCTCCTGGCTTAGGATCCGCGCCGTTGCGGCCAATTGGGGAGTGAACCAGCGAATGGAAGACCTCTCTCTCTTTGCCTCTCCGTCTCTCTCTGTGTAACTCTGACTTTCAAATAAATAAAATAAATCTTTTAAAAAAAGATATATTACATCGTAAAAACCACAGTGTCAGTCTTTTTTTTTTTTTTTTTAAACTAAACATAACTGGAATTGTTGGGTATAAAAATAAGGTAAGAAATGACTGGAGAAAGGCAGTGCTAGGTGATAGAAATCTCTATGCATCAGGCTAATGAACCTGAATTTTAGTCTATAGGTGATAGACAGCTGTAGTGGTTTTGTTTTTTCTTAAATAAACCTGATATGTACTTGCTAGCTCATGTGGGAACAGTGGAAGGCAGAGTGGGAAAAAGCTGTGGTCTCCAAGGAAAGGACAGTGAGGTTAGGTAGTCTCGGGAGAAGCTTTTTTGTTCATGTAAGTCTCATGACCCTTTTAAATTGTCTGCTCATGTAACAAAGCTGTTTACTCTGGTAGCAGCAGCTCCGTTTGGAGTGGTTTGTCTCTGTGAAGCATATGCCACTTTTGATGTTTTCTACTGACATGGCATTTATCTTAGTGACCAGCACCACTACTAAAATTTCACTTTGCAAGGAAAGAGCAAGAACTTTAATTTTTGCTTCTTTCAGGTTGAGTTAATTGGAGAATGAGAGTAGGAGAACTTCAAAGCGAAATCTAGGACCACTAGCAGTGACAACAGGGCAGGAGTGACTGGGAGATTGTTACAGTTCCCATTGTGGGCCTGCTGTCTGGAAGACAAGCTAAAAAAAGAGTAACTTAAAATTACGATCACTGATACCCTTATGAATGCACCCTAGTACTCCTGCTGAGGGTTAGAAGAGTCCCTTCTGTCCCACAGAAGAAAGCTGGGAATTTAAAATAGAGAAGGAGATGAGCGGAGGGATGGTGAGAAAGCCTTACTCCTGCTTTGACATCCTGGTCTGGAAATACTGATTAGAGAACAGAGCTTACGTTGATGTTCTTTTATAGCATTAGTGACATTCTAAACTCAGGAAGAATCCTGTGTTTCTCACCTTGGTAGCTTGCTTGAGTGATATCATGTACTGTAGGAAAATCTAATCTTATCTCTGTGAAAACCAAACTTTTTTCCCCTTTTTCTTCTAGAAAAATGTGCTGTTTGTGGAACTGCCTGCAAGCATCTAGCTCTTTCTGATAATGTAAGTTTTTCTCTCCCTGTCACAAACCATCACATCCCATTAGTGATCTGTAGAAAGTACACACAAAGTACAGATTATCATTTTTTAAAAGATTTATTTATTTTACTTGAAAGTCAGAGTTACATAGAGAGGAGAGGCAGAGAGAGAGAGCGAGGTCTTCCATCCCATGGCTCACTCCCCAATTGGCCGCAACAGCTGGAGCTGCACCAATCTGAAGCCAGGAGCCAGGAGCCTCCTCTGGGTCTCCCACACGGATGCAGGGGCCCAAGGACCTGCGCCATCCTCCACTGCTTTCCCAGGCCACAGCAGAGAGCCAGACAGGAAGTGGAGCAGCCGGGACTAGTACCGGTGCCCGTATGGGATGCCAGCGCTGCAGGCCAGGGCATCAACCTGCTGAGCCACAGCGCTGACCCCCAGATTATCATTTTTTAAAAAAAGAAATTTGCAGATAGAAGTTGTAAAAAGATAAAATTATTACTTTATTTCCTTCAAGGATCAGTGTTTAATTTCGTTCCATTGTGGATATGCTCAACTGTGTGTTTTACTGTCTTCATAGCTGAAACCTCAGGAGAAAATGTTCTTCAGAAGCCCTGTGGAGACCGCTTTGCAGTATTTTAATCACATCTCTCAGGTATGAGAAAGAAAAAATGATTCTCCAGGGAAATTCTGATTGCATTTATTCCTTTGTCAAAAGTTCTGTTTAGACTGTATTTTTTAAAAAGATTTATTTATTTATTTGAGAGGTAGAGTTACAGAGATAGAGAGGGAGAGATGCAGAGAGAACGCTTCCATCCTCTGGTTCATTCCCCAAATGGCTACAACATTCAGAGCTGGACCAATCCAAAGCCAGGAGCCAGGAGCCAGGAACCAGGAGCCAGGAGGTTCCTCTGAGTCTCACATGGGAGCAAGGACCCAAGCACCTGGGCCATCTTCCTTTGCTTTCCCAAGCACATGAAAAGAGAGCTGGATTGGAAGAGGAGCAGCCAGGACTCGAACTGGCACCTAAATGGGATGCCAGCACTGAAAGCTGTGGCTTTATCCACTAAGCCACAGCACCGGCCCCTCCACTAAGATTATTTTATCACCTCATGGAGTTCCTATCTTGGCATGTTTCTTGAAACTTTATTATACTGTTCCCTTTCTGTACTCCTACTTCCTTTTTTAAGTGTGTATTTATTTATTTTTATTTTTTGAAGGCAGAGCAACAGGCAGAGAGAGGAAGAGAGAGAGGAGCTGGTCTGCGGGTTCACTCCCCACGTGTCTGCAACAGCCAGGACTGGGCCAGGTCAAAGCCAGGAGCCAGGAACTCCATCAGGGTCTCCCTTGTGGGTGGCAGGGGCTCAAGCATTTGAGCCATCATCTGCTGCCTCCCAGGGTGTAGATTAGCAGAAACCTGAATCAGAAGTGGAGGCAGGACTCAATCCCAGGCACTCCAGTATGGGTTGTGAGTGTCCTAAGCAGTGTCTTAATCCATGACACCACAAAGCCTGCCCCTGTGTTCTTCTTGTTCTTAGAAAAACATGCCTTTCTTAAATGTGAAGATTATGTTTAGTTATTTTCTGCTTGGAGACAGAAGATTTAATTTTTCTTCATTGTCTTACCCCTTAGTTCTGGCTCTGGAGGTAGATCAAGGGGAATTAAGGCTTTGGCTGCATCCCGTCTTTAGCTGTCTGTTCAGGTCATCATATTTGAGATACTATGTTTAATATTATGAGGAGATAAAAAGCAGCTGGGACTCAAGGAGTAATGTAAGCAAGGTCACATGAACAAGAGAAAGACCAGACCTTTGGTTAATACCTAAGCCCAGGGTTAATGATCACTGGAGAAATTATACGTAGTCTGAATCCTAACCTGCCTAATCATGGGGCCAATTACACATGGTCAAATAATCAAGATAAAATAAATGGAAAGGGTCAGTTAATCATCACTTTAGTAGAGGGCCAGTTTGATGAAGTCAGCAAAGTCTGAAAATGTGTTTTCCCAATCTGTGAAGGTAAATAACAGATCCAAATAATACCTCAATTGCTTCATTCAGGCGTCTGCTCCAAACTTCCTGAGACAAACCTTTACTGCTTCTCCTATCTCAAATAGTAACCCACCATTCTCTGCTCATTGGCCTGCCTTATTTTTCATCATGGATCATATCTCTAACATTCAAATATTTGTTTATCATCTTGACTCCTACACTGGCATATAAGCTCCATGAAGACAGATGTGGATGGCTTTGTCTGTTGTTCTTTTTGAGTAATTCTTTTTTAAATTATTTATTTATTTTCACTTTATTTGAAAGGCAGAGAGATGGACAGAGAGGTCTTCTATCCACTGGCTCACTCCCCAAATGTCCACAACATCAGGGGCTGAGCCAGGCTGAAGCTAGGAGCCTGGAACTCAGTCTGGGTCTTCCACATGGCTGGCAGCGACCCAGCTACTTGAGCCATTATATGCTGCCTCCCGGGATGTGCATCAGCAGGAAGCTGGCTGAGGGCTCGAAGCAGGCACTCTGAGGGGCCGACATTATATAGCACAGTAGGTTAAGCCACTGCTTGAGATGCCAGCATCCTGTATCGGAATGCCAGTATGAGTACCGCTACTCAGCTTCCAATTTAGCTTGCTCTAGTGCTCCTGGGAGGTAGCAGAAGATGGCTCAAGAACTTGAGCTCCTGCCAGGCATGTGGGAGATCAGATGGAGTTTCTGCCTGCTGGCTTTGGCCTGGCCCAGAACTAGCTGGCTGTTATGGCCATTTGAAGAGTGAACCAGTGGACAGAAGATATCTCTCTATCTTTCCCTCTGTCTCTCATCTATTTCCCTCTCTGTGTCACTCTACGTTTCAAATAAATAAATAAATAAATAAATCCTAAAAAAAAAAAAAGTGGTGTTGAACAGACACTCATATGGAATACAGGCATCCCAAATAGCAACTTAACTGTTGTACCACACACACCCCTATAGATAGTTCTTGATATGTAGTGGACACTCAAAGCATTGTTGAATGAATGAATGAATGGAGAGTCACTCTAAGTATCTATTTGTGCTCTAACTAGTCCTCATCCTTAATCTCTGTAATGACCTGACAGAGGCATTTTTATTCTGTATTTTATGTCAACAGTTGATCAAGCTGCTCACATCTACATAGTTTTTTTTTAAGATTTATTTATATATTTGAAAGGCAGAGTTAAAGAGAGTCAGTGGCAGAGAGAGAGGGAGAGAGGAAGGAGGGAGGGATCTTCATTTGCTGGTCCACTCCCCAAATGGCAATGGCAAGAGCTGGGCTGATCTGAAGCCTGGAGCTTCTTCTAGATCTCCCACACAGGTTCAGGGGCCAAGAACTTGGGCCATCGTCTGCAGTTTTCCCAGGCCATAGCAGAGAGCTGGATCAGAAGCAGAGCAGCCGGGATGCGAATTGGCATGCTTATGGGGATGCTGGTGGAGGCCTTACCCTCTACGCCACAGCACTGGCCCCCTATGTTTTTTTTTTTTTTTTAAGATTTATTTATTTATTTATTTGAAAGTCAAGTTACACAGAGAGAGGAGAGGCAGAGAGAGAGAGAGAGAAGTCTTCTAGCTGATGGTTCACTCCCCAATTGGCCATAACAGCTGGAGCTGCGCTGATCTGAAGCCGGGAGCCAGTAGCTTCCTCAAGGTCTCCCATGTGGGTGCAGGGGCCCAAGTACTTGGGCCATCTTCCACTGCTTTCCCAGGCTACAGCAGAGAGCTGGATCGGAAGTGGAACAGCTGGGACTAGAACCGGTGCCCATATGGGATGCTGCAGGCCAGGGCGTTAACCCGCTGTACCACAGCACTGCCCCCCGCCCCCTACAGTTTTTTTATAAGGAGTTGGAGAGTTCCATTTGGACTTACTTTCTTCTATTCCTGGGTTATATAGACTGCATCCACACCCACTACTAATCATCTTTCAAATGTATGGCAGTAATTGTTAATTCTTTGGTAATAGCCTTCCCTGATTCCCATAGGCAGAGTTTTGCTTTGCTCTTTGTACTCCTATCCCATGTTGCTTTTAACTGCAAAATACCTAACTCTGGAAAAGTGATTTATTTTATTGTTCATATGGCTGTTTCTCTCACTGAGCCAGGAACCTTTCAAAAGCAGGTATCACCGGTGCCGCGGCTCACTAGGCTAATCCTCCGCCTGTGGTGCTGGCACACCGGGTTCTAGTCCCGGTCGGGGCGCCGGATTCTGTCCCGGTTGCCCCTCTTCCAGGCCAGCTCTCTGCTGTGGCCCGGGAGTGCAGTGGAGGATGGCCCAAGTGCTTGGGCCCGGCACCCCATGGGAGACCAGGAGAAGCACCTGGCTCCTGGCTTCGGATCAGCACGGTGCGCCAGCCGCAGCAGCCATTGGAGGGTGAACCAATGGTAAAGGAAGACCTTTCTCTCTGTCTCTCTCTCTCACTGTCCACTCTGCCTGTCCAAAAAAAGAAAATACAAAAGCCGGCGCCGCGGCCTCACTAGGGCTAATCCTCC